CCCCAAAACCCCAAAACCCCAAAACCCCAAAACCCCAAAACCCCAAAACCCCAAAACCCCGAGAATCCCAAAAATAATTGATTATTAATTTTTGAAATTTAAATGGATTTGACTGAAGATGACGCCGCATTGGCCGTCGAAGCCATGCAACAATACGAAAACGACAGTGATAGTAATAACAACTTCGACACCATGTCAAACGACGACATGGAACCTGGAGGCTGGATCCAGTGGTTCTGATCCCTCGAAGGCCATGACTTCTTGTTAGAAATCGAAGAAGAATACATTAAGGATAACTTCAACCTATTTGGATTAAAATAAGAAATTCAAAACAGAGAGATACTCCACCTGCATTAAAATGATTTTAAGTAATTATTCTCCTTCAGAGGAGGATCTCCAAAACGAAGAATTTTTAGAATTGAACCAAGAAGCTTCTGATTTATATGGGCTAATTCACTCAAGATTCATTATCACTCAGAGAGGATTGAGCAAACTTTACAATAAGTTCCTCAATGGAACATACGGGTACTGTCCAAGAGCTTTATGAGACCGCCAGAAGGTCCTCCCGGTCGGCCTCTCCGACGAGCTGAGAACATCAAGAGTCAAGGTCTTTTGCCCCAAATGCGAAGAAGTGTATATTCCAAAATTTAAGAGCATCAACGTGGATGGCGCATATTTCGGCACTTCAGTGCCACATATTTTCCTGAGAAGTTTCAAAGAGGCGGTTGTCCTGCCGCCGAGGATTTTTAACTACGAGCCTAAGATCCACGGGTTCAGGATTTACAAGAAGACTGGCTCCAGGGCCGCAGGGGCCAAGGATGTTATCACATATCCAAAATCCTATACTACAGGTGAAGCAGCAGAAGAACTGAAAAGTAGGGGCTCGAAGCCGATTTCAAAAGAGGACAAAAATGATGAAGACGTTGTCACCGACAATTTCAATGACAAAGACCAGGCGACCACTCATAACACCAATAATAACAATGTAAGGAAGGGTAAAGGAAAAGGGAAGAAGAAAGGCGGAAGAAGATAAGTAGCTGATAATTGTGTTCTAAAGAAGTTTTTCCTTAAAATTTCTATACCAATTCTATATTTCTAGATCTATACGGGGTTTTGGGGTTTTGGGGTTTTGGGGTTTTGGGG